ACATAAAATAAATACATATAATTAGCATGGGTACATTTAGTAAAATTAAAAATGGGTACAAATAAATTAAAAAACATGGGTACAAATACAAATAAAAGTTTAAAAAATATGGGCAGAAAAAAAAATTAATATATGAGTACAAATTAAACTAAATTAAAATTGGTACAAATTAAAAAGAGTTGCAAATTAAAAATGGGTACAAAATAAAAATAAAAATATATGATTAAAAATTTAGCCATAAATATAAATAGATCATATGTAACATTTCTAACAATAAATGAATATATTTAGAAATAAAAAATATTTTGTTATTGAAATAATTAATGACGTCTATTAAAACCTAAGGACCTTGATCAAAAATTGAAAAAGAATAAGGTTTTAATCAATGGAGTAGCAAAAAGAGGTATGAGAACCTAATTTTTCCTAAATAAAAACTCTTAAAATCCCTCGTCTAACATAACCTCAGCTCATCTACCTTTTTTAATCTTGTACCGAACCTGTAAGGTCTAAAATGTACAGGGTGAGGGAAACCACAGCTCAATAGGGACATATATAATCTTATCAAGGATAATTGTCATGGCTAAACAAAGTGTCATACAACACGTAATCAATTATAACATGTTATCAAATATAAATTATAGTCCATGAATGCAGCTGAATTTCAATTACCCAACCCATTAATATATATAATAAAACATGCGAACTTGCATGTCCCATACCATGCATTTTACCAATGCAGTGGTGGTCTGAATGCTCTTTTATATAAACCAACCCCGTAACTTTGTCATCCCAATTTCCCCTTTTTTTAGTCATCTTGTTCTCTTGGTCGCTAGAGTACCCACTACGCCATACCATTCTTATAATTTCACTTTTGCCACCCTTACTGGTCCTTATGAGAGTCGAACTCAACCACACAAAAGATAATTCCATTTTCATATCCCAATCTCGAATAAACCAATCAATTCTTCCACTCCAATATGCAATGACATATGCATATAATCAACATTATCATGACTAGTAACATGAATATCATATTTCAAAATACACAATTATATCAATTATAGAGATAAGATCAAGTATAACACATATTCCACAAAGGTTAAACAAGACAGATACCCCAATGATGATAAGTTCCCCAAGAAACCCCTACCTCGATTCCACAAAGCTAAAACGAAGATCTACGATACTACTGCAATAACTAAGCTCCACGTACTTGAACAAGCTCCTTAATCACTCACAATACCATGTATTTCTTTTCTAAACTCTCTCCACATAAACACACACACACACACACACATATATATATATATATATACATACACATATAATATACGTGAATCGCGTGCACAAGCATGCAACAATTTGCATAATGTAAAAAAATGGAGTGAAAGCTCCTATTTATAGAGAAATGGGCGGCTACCCAAACGTAGTGGCCAAGAAAACTTAACCATGAACTAAACTATATTAATATAATACCTATATATAGATAGACACAGAGGATGGCTCTTATCTTGGTTATCGAAACAAAGGAAGAAGTGTAAATAAGTGATGGAGGTGGCAGCTGGGAAGGGTGATTACAAGCACCTCAAAATGCAATCCAAAAATTACTATAGATTGCTATGAACATGGTCATGCCACGTTAGAAGTAATAACTTGACAAGTGTAACTGTGTAAGCTATGAGATGGAAAATGGAGATAAGATAAATGAAGTGAAGATAGGTGAGAAAATGTTGTAGGTTCAAATAAGTAAATAACTATAGCTATTACTTGCTTAAATAATATAAAATTGTAATTAAAATAATACTAGTTAACAAAAAGGCAAAAGTTTTGAAAATGCAGGTCATCACACTACATGAAGCCACTCGTGAATGTTTCTGGCTAAGAGCAATAATAAAACATATTCGAAGTAAATGCGATCTTTTTTCTGTCATTGACATCCTAACAATGATTTATGAAGATAACGCAGCTTGTATCGATCCGATCAAGAAATGATACATCAAATGAGAAAACACCAAGCATATTGCACCAAATTCTTCTTGTCACATCAGCATCAAGAGCATTAAAAGATTAAAGTCAAGCAAATACATCCCAGGATAACTTAGCCAACTTCTTAACAAAGCCACTAATGAAGTTAACCTTTCAAAAGCTTATTCAAGGAATTGGAATGCATAAATTGTCTGATTTGCAATGCTCGTAGTTTTCATTTGAGAAATTTTGTCAATTCTAGGGGAGTACCTAGAAGTATACTCGCTTGTCCTAAATGTACCATTTCCCCTATGATTAGGAGCATCTTTGCCTTTGGGTTTTTGCTACTTGATGAGTTTTTAATGAGGCACCTATCTCTGGGATAGTCATACCCATATGTGCTTTTCTACTTACGTCCTAAAGGCATTTAGTTTTAACTTAGTGCAAATTCTTATTTTTCTCCTTAGACTATGAGTTTTTACCCTACCTTGGATTTTACAATAGCTAGGTTTAGTGAGTTTTACTTTTTAATGCATTCCTCATTTGTTTTGAGACTCGCATTCGCTCAATGGGCCGACTAGACGAGAAGACTTCATCAAGTGCTTCTACATCATCCATGAAAATCTAATACGAAATCTACTTAAGTATCTACACACTTTAGAGGAGTGTTGTGACATAAATTCTAGCACATGTGTGTAAATCATTAGTAGACTATCTTTAGGATACTAGAAGATATTATCCCTTTATGATCATATTATTTACAAGGTAAGCAATCATTTTCAATTTACTATAAAAGCCACAGACAATGAGAAATACACATAAGAAACTCCTCAACTCTCTCTTATCTCTCTTTGCTGCACTCTCTCTCCTTCATTTCAGAGAAAATAGGCCACAACAATATAAGATTTAAAAGAAAAATATTGATAATAAGTTAATAAGGAATGACTTTAGACAAAATAGACCACAATAATATAAAATGAAAAGAAATCCTCGGATTCGAGTTAGGATTATCTGGTGAGATTTGTATGAATCTCGGTCAAGATCATGACGGGGACAATTGCTGGTCGTCGGGGATGGCAACCGTGGTGGCTGGGCATGGTTGCATGCCATGCATGCGTCGGTTTTGGCAGTGGCGACACCGTTAATGATGTCGGGTTTTTGGGGGTGGACGACGTTGAAATGATGTCATGGGTTTTGGGTTCCAAGGGAGCATCTGTGTTCTAGCTTGGGTTCATGGCTCGGCTCAGCCACACATGTTGCTGACCTGGTGCTAGCGGCTCGGGGTTCAGCGACGAAGCTCGAACCGCTACTTGCAGGGTTTCCAACGTAACCTTAATTTTTTTTTTTTTGAAAAAGTTATATAATTCTATACATATTCAATAGAAATTCACATAATCCAACAATAATGAATATAATACATGAACAATTTATGTAGAATCTAAAATTCGTAAGTACAAAGTTAAGTTATGCATTATAATGAATGTTCATGCAATCAAAGCTGAAGAAATATCGAGATAAAAACCGTTATTTTGAAAGAACCTGAGTGCGTAATGTTATTGATGAACTGGTTTGTAGCAAAAAATTCCACATTAGATTTCTTAGTGCAGCGAATGAGCGTGCTGATAACATATTATGGTCTATTTAATTGACAAGGAATAAAGCGTCGTCAAAGAGAAAGTGGAGAAAGTGTAGAGGTTAAGATGTTGTTATCCTTCTACACATTACCTTAAGTATGGGGTCTTTGAAATCATTTACCAAAGCTGATGAAGGAAAAGTCTTAGTGAACACAACGAACATGCATTTAAAGCATAAAATATTTAACTTCTACACAACAAAAAAATAGTCATTTACGTGAAGTATGCCAACAACCATACCAAAACCAACAAAAATATGAGGATCAATCGTGTAACGACAAATAATTATTCTTTTTAATTAATTTACATCCAATCATAACATAACATGCTACAGAAACCTAAAAAGGGCTCATATTCTAGCACATTAGAAGGGTAATAACAACCAAGGTATCTTAGGCAAAGCATGATAAGCTGAAAGTGATTTCTATAGGTGCGAATAACGATAAGAATTGGGGAGAAAACAGATAAAGATGAACACTCACAAATAAATAAAGTTGGTAGAGATATTTATGAACAAGATTGGGAAGGAGAAGAAAATTAAGCTTTCGGAGTTGAGAAAAATAAAATGCTTTGATTTTGGGTTTTTAATTTTTTAAATGGTGTAAAGATAAATTTACAGATTGAATTAGATTTGTGTGGGTTTTTTTCTTTTTCTTTTTATTTTTGTCGAAAATCAAAATATTATTAGATACGAATTGAAATATTTACATTAGAAGCCACATAATTAAACAACCACTCTGGTTCAAAGCAATCCCACATATGAAAACCCCACACGTGTGACATAAGATGCCACCTGATGCGCAGCCTCATTGCAGATTAAATTGGGTTTGTGAGGGTATTTAAGATAATAAATTTAGATTTAAAGAGCTATTGATAGTTTAGTTAAAAATCAAATGAGTACAAAAAAAATTATATTAAGTGTATAAAAAGGTTACATGAATTTAAATAAAATTTTCTTTACATTAATTATCCATTTAGCTTAACGAGCACAAAAACAAATAATTACCAAAAATAAACACAAAACACAAACAGAAACAAGACAACTCTGCCACTCGAAAGTTCCTCGACATCAGCCTTGCTGTACAAAGGGTTGATTCACTCCACATACACTCTCCATACCCGTAACGGTTCAACCAACGATTTTCTGCCACGTCAAAATGAGCCAGCTTATTATTGGTCCGTATTAGTCGCTCCCAACTACTGGTATTACGATAGCAACCCTTCCTAAACCGTAGAGATTCATCTGATTGGTCCTAATAAACGGAGCGTGCGGCCAGCGATTGTGTTTGTTGTAAAATGAATCTCAACCGTCCAAATTGCAGGGTCCGACCGTACTCGTGGACGGTCAGGATTTCACTGGACATTAGACAAGCAAATTATTCAGAGATTGCATAGAGATAGAAAACAAACAAAAAAGAAATAATTCGTATTTATGAAGGAGGAGTGGTAATCGGTAGAAGAAGAAGGAAGACGAAGAAGCCGAAGGCTCGATTCGGGGGGAGGCAGAGTGATTGTGTCCGTAGAGATCTCTCTCTCTCATCCTCTTTCTCTCTCTAAGCGCAGAGAAATCAAGATTCGTCAATGGGTTTGTGGGAAGCTTTTCTCAATTGGCTCCGCAGGTTAGCCCCCCCTCTCCCTCTTGTTTCGGTTTTCAATTTGTTGGGGTTGTTGTACGATCCAGTCTTGATACATTTGTTCATGGAATTTAGATTTCTTTTTATTGTTTTTTACATGTGCGGAATGTACAGGAACTTGGTTCAAAGATTTTACTTTTGTTTTGGGTTTGAAAGTAACAATTTTTTTAGTGGGATTTTGATTTTGATTTGAATTTGTTGGGTTGTAAGGTTTAAATGCATAAGTTGCTTTTGGGTTTCATAAAAAGATGGTGGAAAAGAAAACCCAAAAAAAAAGAAGCTCAAAATGGTTTCCTTTTGCTTTTTAATTTTTAGTTTTTGCCAAACTTCTTTTTTCTTTAGCTATATTTTGCCTTGTAGGTGAATGTAAGTTTATACAGTATATTCTGGATTGATTGTCCCTAGCAATGATTGCTGCCTGTTTATTGATAATATATGTTTTTATGTGTATTTCTGTTTATTTGGGTTGCTTTTGCCTTGAGTTAAATTGCTGAGCTGAAATAGGCACAATTCTTTCCTAGGAGTAGAACAATCGTTTGATTAAAAGTCAAATCCTTGGCGCAACACAATCACTTTCACATCTTTTCTACGTCGGCTAATATGGTGGCACACTCGCTCATCTAAACCAAAGAAGGGCCAAAATTCATTCTAGGCTGCCCGACCCGGCCTATAAGAGGGAAACTTGAATTTAGCTGCTAAAGGATTGGTAAAAGGAAACGACAATGTGGACTCCTAATGTTGCAGAATGTTAGAAATTAGGAGATATTTTAGATTTAGCGATAACGTGTTTTGAATAATATCACTCACTATATACCAAATTGTATGTATATGTAATTTTGATCTTTCTTTGTCAAATTTTAACGTATGTCAGTGACTTACGCTTCTTTCAATTGGGAAACTTGTGTATATGATACTGTGTAGTCTTGGCTTGTGTTGAGACATTGAATGAAATGTAGAACTGCAGATGTAATAACTTTCTTGCTGAGCTAAATTTTTTTCCTCTTTGGGTTGTGGGAATTGCAATTAGAACTTTTTGAGTGGTTATTGCAACATTGGGCGTTCTATATTTGTATTAGTTTATCTGACCTCTATGTCAGTTGTTCACACTGCCTGTGCTTACGCTATTGTCATGTCATTACAGCCTCTTTTTTAAGCAGGAAATGGAACTATCTTTGATAGGGACTTCAGAATGCTGGAAAGACTTCTCTTGTAAATGTTGTAGCGGTAAGTAAATCAGCACAGTGACTTTGAATGGGTGTCTCTTTCCTTTCTGTCTACTTGTTTGGCTGATGTGTTGAAAACTGTATTTTCTGTTTTCAGACGGGTGGATACAGCGAGGACATGATCCCTACGGTAAGTTATCTTTATAAAAGGGTTATAATTGCCACTACATTTTCTTATAAACAATATTCTTAAACCAGATATTTGTACCTCTTATGAAGAGCTTCATCCATCCAATGTCTTTCTAGTGAGTGAATTAGTTAATTAATGACAATGTGGTCATCTGATTCAATTTTCAGGTAGGGATTCAATATGAAGAAGGTGACCAAAGGGAATGTTACAATAAAGTTGTGGGATCTTGGAGGTCAACCCAGGTTTCGCAGCATGTGGGAGCGATACTGTCGTGCCGTTTCTGCTATAGTGTATGTAACCACTTTTCTATCTCAATTGATTTTACTTTTTAAATAATTAAAAACTTTAGTTGTAAAACGAAATTGCCTTTGCATGTTTGTTAATATTGTATACCTTTTCCCCAACCCTTCGCCTTTCTTTGGTCAAACAAACCCAATTTGTTCAGCAATTGATTTCTTTTATGTGTCAAAGACCATTAGCTGATATTCAGATGTTGTGGTTAGCGGCTCATGTTTGTTGGTAGGCGAGTGTCAATGATTCAGAGTATACATTGACTAATGATTAAGTTGAGTTGATCCTTGTATCCTTGTATTATGAAGACTTAAAGAAAAGTTGTGCAACTTCTTGTTTGCTGCAGTTATGTTGTTGATGCTGCGGATCCAGATAACATGAGTGTATCAAGCAGTGAGCTTCATGATTTGCTCAGCAAAAACTCACTAAGCGGGATCCCACTACTGGTTCTCGGAAACAAGATTGACAAGCCGGGAGCTCTCAGTAAACAGGCATTAACTGATGAAATGTAAGTCCAATTATGCTTTTATTATTGAAACTTACCAAAAAATAGAAAAAGACGTGTTGTTTTGGTACTGATCATACCATTCTGCTGGTGCAGGGGACTGAAATCGATTACCGATAGAGAAGTTGGTTGCTTCATGATCTCATGCAAGAACTCAACCAACATCGACTCAGTTATCGATTGGCTTGTAAAGCATTCGAAATCAAAAAGCTGAGAGATGGTTTTACCTCTCTGCTTTTGATTTTTATAAAAGAATTCTTCGCGTGCGGGGTGTTGGTGGCGGGATTCACTTGTTTGATTAACTTGGTTGCTGATTATTTTGTTGTTGTACTGTATTCTACTGTATCATTTCTTCTGACTGGGGACGATCTGGGGTTGTTTTGGTCTCCTAGTCTCCCTTTTCTCCCCCAGACATCTGCCTACATTTACATATTGGAATTCATGGAGGTTTTGGAGACTAGCTTTTTTCGTCACGCATGTGAAAAATGAAACGTTAACCGTAGATTTTGCAATCATAAATTCATAATAAGAGGATTATATTTTTCATTTCAAGGTTAATTAAAATAAGAGACGTTTTCCTTCCCATGACGCCGTTATCTCATTTCACCATTACGTTTTAAACGACAAATCCAATCTGTTGCAGTTGATGGGAAAGATACATTGTTAATCTTCTTCCTGAGATCATGCATCAAGTTAGTAGCGCAAGCGCAGTTGAGCAGACACATCAGCTTATCTGTCAGTTGAGTTTGAGAACGAAACACTCTCCATCTCCGGATGGATATTGTTAATCCCTGGGCTTGGATTGTAGATAGCTGATTCAATGTTAATTAAGGTTCTAAAAGACGCTAGGCGTTAGTTGGACGGCAGGTTGGGGCCTAGCGCCTAGGCGGCTAGGAGTTTAGACGGATTAGACGGATTTAAGTAAATGCATTATATTTCATGTAAATAAGTGTCTATTTATACTTAAAATATAAATAATTTCATCATAAACTACAAAATAGAATGACATATGTATTATGAAGTATTGGAACGTAATCAAAACATGGGGAACAAGTATATAGTGTGTGCTCATATAAGTATTCAACAAGTCTCTTACAATTTATTGAAAAAAAAATTAAATGCAAATTGAAAGTTATGTATTTTCTGTCTAAGTGAGTCGCAACCTAGGCATGTGCCTAGACGAGTTTGGACGGACTAGGTGGGGTAACTAGGTGGTCTAGGCGTCATTTTTTAATTTTCAAATGCTTAGGCATTAATTAGGACGGTAACTAGCCGCCTAACGCCTAGGTGGTGCTAGACGGGGATTTTTAAAATAGTGGTGTTAATTGTCTGACTTCAAGTTTCACCAACTTGCTTTGTCTTCGGCTACCAGTTCGGCGACCTTCCTTTTGAAATGGAAAGATCACACCGGAAACAAAATATATATTCAGCTTCAAGGATTCAGAATGCAGGTGATGACCCTAAAATTCACATTACTGTTATTCACTTTTTAACTCGTATGACATTTTACGTTGTGGAAAAAAGGAAAGTGATAGTTTAGTTGCGGTGCTCGTTTCTAATTGTTATAGACTTAAATTTTATACATTTTAAGTGCGTTTGTTGCACCAGACTATTTCGAATTGGACTAACTTTAGGGATTAAGCTGGATTGGCCTAGATTAGACTATGCTGGACTAATTTAGAGAAACATTTGGTGCAGTGTTAGACTAAAAAGCAAGATAATTAAGAGACTATAATATTATATTAATTAATGCATATATAGTAAGATTTTATATTATTTAATGTATATATAATAATATTTTATATTATTTAATGCATATTTATTATTTATTCACCTTTTACTTTTTTAACTTTTAAAAGACTACCCTTCCCAAGCATCTTTTCTTTTCTTCTCCCTCTGACTTTGCCTCATTTCTTCTTTCCTCCCTCTTTTTCTTGCAAAACGCAAGTGTAAAGCTCATCACAAATCCTTCAAAACAAACTCATCCTCTTCAACCTCTTGCCGCCATTAAGTATCTCCACCTTCCTCATCCTTTTTTTTCCAAAAAATTTTGGATCTCTCTCCTCCATCTGATACATGCGTTGGCTTCTCCGTCTACAAAGCCATCTCAAAATTTTTTAGCAATGGGTGGATTTTGAATTTTGCGGTTAGAATTTTTTGTTGTTATATATATATATATTTTTTTTTTTTTAATTTTGATGGTTTGATTTTGAGGTTTGGGCAGTGGGTGGGACTTTGTTTCAGATCTGGGCGGTGATTAGAGGGTGTTGCAGAGGAACGCTTGCAGACGACACAACATATAGACGATGTGGGCAAATGGAGCAGGTTTGGGGACGGGACTAGCAATCCCATACATATTGGGGGTCCTCGCTAAGAGTACCTAGCGAAAGACTTAGTCGGTGTGAGTCCGACTTAATCTCATCAATGGTAATCCTTGTTCGCATCAAACACCGGCCATCAATCCCAGCTAACCCAATCCAATCCAAGGAAATTTATTGTGGGCAAACAAATGCCCCCTTTGGCCCCTTTAGGTTTTAGATTGAAATCCCTCTCTTGCCACATAAATGACATAATAACAAAAGAGATGCAATAATACCAATAAAGACTCAAACCGTTATTTTGCTTTTATTTATACGACCAATTTAATTATTGAAATTTGCTTATGGGTTTCAACCAAAAAAAATATTGCTTATGGATGCATTCCAAAATTATTTTTATTTTTATAAAATATGAGTACATTTATATAAGGGTACATTTTACCTATAAAAAATTGATACATTTATATAAAAATGTGGGTCCATTTCACAAAAAAAAAAAAAAAGAGAATACATTTTATTCAAAAAAAAAAAAAAAAAAAAGCGGCACGTTTTATAAAAATTAGATGGGTACATTTTATATAAAAAAACAATGGGTTACATTTTACATTAAAAAAAAAAACAAAGGGTACTTTCATATTAAAAAATGGGTACATTTTGGATAAAAATAAATAAATAGATTTTTACATTAAAAAATGGTACATTTTACATAAAAAGAATGATACTTACAAAACAAAACAAAATGGTACATTTTGCATTTAATAAAGTGGTACATTTTAAAAGAAAAATGGGCACATTATAAACATATTATGAATACAAATAAAAGGTTAAAAAATTATGAGTACAAATAAAAGTTTAAAAAATATGGGCACAAAAAGAAATTAATATATGGTTAGGATTGCTCTCCCGTGAACTCACTTAACTTCGGAGTTTATCGAAACTCTGAAGCCAGTGAGCTCCCAAAAGGTCTCGTGCTATAGGAGGTGGGCATGTACATATAAGTCATAGATGATCCTCTTCCCTGGGCGATGTGAGATCTAACAATACAATTTAAAAAAATTTACTGCAAATTAAAAATGGGCATAAACTAAAAATAGAAATATATGATACAAAATTTAGCAATAAATATAAGTATACCAAATGTATAAATATACAAAATGTAACGTTTCTAACACTAAATGAATATATTTAGAAATACAATTTAATTGAAATGATTATCTTGATATGTAAATATTTTATTATTGAAATAATTAATGGCGTTTATTAAAACCTAAGGACCTTGATTAAAAATTAAAAAGAATAAAGTTTTAATCAATGAAATAGAAAAAACATGAACATGAACCTAATTTCTTCAAAAGGAAATTACCCTTAATTAATTAGAATTGAAATTGGATTACCTGATATTGAGTTTCCTTTTCCTAGTTAGAAAATAGAAAAGGCTTGGCTCCCAAGCAACCGGCAGTTCTACTCCATGTCGGATTATGAAATCATGTCATTAGCAATCTATATATATATATATATATATATATATATATATATATATATATTATATATTAACATGAATATTAATTAAAAGATTTGAACAGGAAAACCACCTGACATTGGGTTTCCTTTTCCTAGTTAGAAAATATATGGCTTGGTTCCCACGCAACCAGAGCAGTCCTACTCCATGTAGGATTATGAAATCATTCCATTAGCAATGTGTATACATAGGCATAGGCAGAAGCCAATGAACCACAACAAACGATCAACTCTTGCTTTCTTCCAAATTGTAACCCGACTGACACAATTATGGCACTTTCCAAGTTTATCTTTGTTATTTGCTTACTGTTTACCGTCTTCTCCTCAGCCGCCGCACAACCGCCGTGCACGAGCCGTATCTTCTCCAACAAGAAAACCTTCGCCGCATGCAGTACTCTGCCCGTTTTGAACTCGACGATCCACTGGAATTACTACCCGTCGACAGCCACGGTTGACATTGCATTCTCACAATCCGTGGTGAGTGACTCGAGATGGGTTGCATGGGCCATAAACCCTACGTCCACTGGCATGGTCGGTTCACAAGCCATTGTCGCTTACAAAAGAACCGACGGAACTATTACTGTTTACTCTTCACCACTTAAAAGTTACGGGACACATTTGGAACAAGGGAATGTAAGCTTCCCTTTGTACGACGTCTCTGCGGTTTTTGAGAATAACGAATTCATCATCTTTGCAACCATAGGCCTTCCGAACAATGTCAGCGTTGTGCACCACGTCTGGCAGCAAGGACCCATGTTTGGAAACACTCCCGGAATGCACTCGCTTTCAGGACCCAACGTGCAATCTTTTGGAACCTTGGATTTTCTTTCCGGGAAAATTGAAACAAGCAAGGGAAGTACTTCAACGTCCGCCTTAAAATATGCGCATGGAATTATCAATACCATCAGTTGGGGCATACTTATGCCGATCGGCATAATCGTTGCAAGGTATCTCAAGACAGTCGAAGGGGCCGATCCGGCATGGTTTCATGCTCACAGAGGATGCCAAATGCTGGCTTTTCTTGGAGGGATTGCAGGGTGGGGAACTGGAATTTTTCTTGGCTCTAAATCTCCGGGGATTCAGTACAAAGGGCATAGATGCATCGGCATCACTCTGTTTGCCCTTGCCACGATTCAAGTAGCGGTGGCTCTTTGTTTGAGGCCGAAGAAGACAGACGAGAATAGGAAATATTGGAACTGGTTTCATTGGGTTGTGGGGTATGGAACAATCGTCCTAAGCATCGTCAATATTTTCAAAGGATTTGACATATTGGAGCCGGCCAACAAGTGGAAATTGGCTTACATTGCCATCATCGGTACTTTGGGATGCATCGCTGCAATCCTAGAGCTACGAAAACTAGGTTCTTTCCTTTCGAGGTTTAGAAGCAATCGAGCTACAGGGCAAGAAATAGTCGAGAGTACTCAAACAATAGTGTAACTATGTACTTTTATTTTTATTTCTTGGTTGAATTTTTTTGTAATTGAATACTTACATTAAATAGTTGGTTTCTGTAACATGTATGCACTTTTATATCAGTATTTTTGTTACATTCCATTAGCAATTGACATTTTTTACCTGACTCGTTATTAAACATCCAAAAAAAATTAGAAAATAAAAATGTCAAAAACGTAGAAATTTTATATGATCCAAATATATATAAAGCCCACTTATGCATAAATCATTCCATAACTAGACGGAAGCCATAATCCCCACAAACATTAACAAAAGTACTAATCTTGACGTCGGCGAAATTTTTTTGTCAAAATAAAACACGTGCCTGTATGTAGTTTTCTAGTATCTTATTGAGCGGCAATATTCTTTTGATTTTCGGGTCAAACAATAAGCGTGTTTATTCTCTGCTCGATAGTAAAAAAGAAAGCATCTATTTCATGCTCGTTTTCCACTAAACCAATCTCTTGGAGTTTTCCAATCTACTTCTTAAAATGAGTTCATGTCTCACGTGCTTATTTAGAACCAAAACTACAGTTCACTATACTGTGGTAAAATTGCTCCAGTTTGCGAATTTTTTTAAATAAAAAAAGGATAGTATCTATATTATGCTGGCGGGGCATAAGCCAAGCCTTACAAAGGGCTACGGTTTACGGATTGGACTACATTATTTACTTACTTCCATGTAAACGGTCAGCTCAGGAATTGGATCCTCTTCTCAACTTGGGTTTAAGAGCCTCCTGATAGATCGTCAGATTTTAATCCAACAGTTACAAATAAAAGTTCTTTAAAAATTATAATAATTGTAGAATCCAATCGGAGTTGTGTGTTGGTTAGGGGGCACCTAGGAGACACTGAGGCCAAGCTATCCAATTCCAAATCTGAGAGTCCGCGCATCCATTTTTATCTTCACAAAAACCTTAGCCCCTTGGGGTTTTTAGCGCCTAAAACCCTCGGATTTCTTCACTTCACACCTTGAGCCATGGAAGCTCTGCAAGCTTCCCTCCCGCAAGTCCGTCACACCCAATTCGAACCGACACTGATAAAATCAAACGCAACCTCACCAAGAAAGGCGTCCACCCAACTCCCAAGATCGTCCACACCGTCCGCAAAAAAGAAATCCAAAAACACAACCGCAAGCTCAACCGCCTCGCGGGGGCAGATCCATCTCCGCCGTTCTCGCAGACCCAAAAACAGGCCTTGGCCGAAGAAACCCATTTCCGAACTCTCAAGCGCGAGTTCAGGGACTTCACCAAAGCTGATCAAAGCGAAGAGTGGCGGCGAGGAATTCATGGTTGGGAGGCCTTGGGAGGGGATTGAGAGAATTGGGTTCCGAGAGCTCGCCAGTACTAGTGCGGAGTACGGCGGAGAGAAGCTGAAGAAGGAGGAGCTGAATGCGTTGAGGGAAATGTTCGAGGCCCGGAAGCTCGAGGAGTTGAAATGGGTGTTGGATGATGATATTGAGATGAAAGAAGAGTGGTTCAATGGTGAAGACAGGGTCTGGGACCCTTCTAAGCGGCGGAGACGTGGCGAGGGCGAGGTGATTCAGTTCCTTGTTGATAGGTATGTATTGGGGGTTTTGGTTTTGGAATGTATTGATAGTGGTTTTAGAATACTGTGCTATCTGGGGTTTTGTCAATTTTGGGAATTTTGTTTATTTTTCTTGAGGTGGTTTTGTGGGCAGGCTTAGTTCGACCGAGTTTTCGGCGAGGGACTGGAAGCTTTCGAAGATGATGAAACAGTCAGGGTTGCAGTTCACTGAAGGTCAGATGCTTAAAATTCTTGGAGGACTTGGTGCTAAGGGATGTTGGAAACAGGCATTGTCTGTTGTGGATTGGGCATACAATGATAAGGGGAATAAACATTACAAAAGCAGGTAACTTTATTTGGTGAAAACCTTGGTTACTTTCATGTATGTTTCTTCAAGCACAATTTATCTATATCCACTTGTGAGTTTGGAAAATCTGACCTGAATTGAACTACTAAAGGGTCTTAAAATTCAAAATTTGAATAATGGAAAGAAGCTCGATTGTCATACGTGCCAAGGATGTCATCCAATATGTCAAAGGTTTTTGTTGGCTTTCTTTCTGGGATAGATTTAATGCAAAAGCAAGGATTTTTCTTGTGCTGGAGCCATATTTAGGAACATCAACCTGCTCACGCAAACAAATAGTGTTTTAGATTCAGAAACAAACTCAACCTTGATTTTGGGAAGGATTAAAGTACCTCAAGTGGGTTGTTTATTGTTTGGTAGAACTTTGATTATTCTGTAGTCATGTACTGAAAACAATGAGATGCCCTACTGTAGTGCTTTTGTTATAGGCAACAACTTTTGGCCTGTGAACTACTCTATTGAATCTTCCAAAATCTTTTCTTTTACAGCCTTTGCTATTTTTTGTATAAAGTATTGGTGTGTGACTTCACTGACTTGATATGCTACTATTGGCTCGGTTATAAATCTACACAGATCCATTAAACTACCCTCTTTTGTGTTCTTGACAAATTGATACATGTTGTAGGTTCGTATATACAAAACTTTTGGCAGTTCTTGGGAAGGCACGAAGGCCCCATGAAGCTCTTCGCATTTTCAATCAGATGCTTGTGATGCCTTGCTCTTTGCAACTTTTTTCTGAATCCTCTGTCATACTTTATAGAGATTTATTGAATAAATTCTTACATGCAAGTCATTCAGGGAGATTTCAACATATATCCTGATGTTGCTGCCTACCATAGCATTGTGGTTACACTTGGTCAAACCGGTCTTCTAAAGGAATTGCTGAAGATTATTGAATGCATGAGGCAGAAACCTTTCAAAGGAAATAAGAGTTTGTCTCGCATGAACTGGGACCCTGTTGTTGAACCCGATGTCATTGTGTATAATGCTGTAAGAGAGCAATTTTATGTTTTGCACTGTCATTCCTTGTCATAGATTAATCTCTGCATTGATGTGATTCTCTCTCTTCGAAATTGGTTGCCAGTTACTGAATGCTTGTGCTCAAACCCATCAGTGGAAGGGTGTATCTTGGGTCTTTAACCAGTTGAGGAAGAGTGGCCTGAAACCTAATGGAGCAACATATGGACTTGCTATGGAGGTAATAATTGGATATGTCATGTATTAACGCGTAATACTTCAAGCATAGGTCTTTTTTGTTATGATCTAAAGGAATACAGAAATACAATGACTCAGGGGTCGAGAATAAAAACTTAAGTCTTGATTTGAATTATTTGTTTACCATCAGATATTTGTATATATCAGTTATATTGCTAGCAATGTACATCTTACTCTAATAGGAGGTGCTTCTTGTTGTAAGGTAATGCTGCAATCTGGGAAATATGACCTTGTCCACGAACTCTTTAGGAAAATGAAAAAAAGTGGAGAAGCTCCAAAAGCTCTTAACTACAAAGGTAATTCTGTTTGTATCTCATGTGCTATGATTTGGATGCTGTATCATTATTTATGCACTTATATATGATGCATCATTTCCCAGTTATTGTCAGAGCTTTTTGGTGTGAAGGGAAAATTGATGAAGCAGTGGAAGCAGTTAGGGATATGGAACAAAGAGGAGTGGTTGGAACAGGCAGTGTATATTATGAGTTAGCTTGCTGCCTTTGCAACAGTGGCAGGTGGCAGGATGCCCTGGTAGAAGTAAGTTTCTTTCTCTGTGGAATTTAGGTCTATTGTGATTGGCTTTAATTGTTTACATGTGGTGTAATCAAACTGTGCATGATATGTGGATGAAGAGTCTTCGGCAGCATTGTCATCCTTGCTGCAGTTCCTGCCATGTTTTTTGTCATTCATTTTCTTTTTATCAAGTTGTTAGGTTTCTTTTTTCTTTCCTTGAATGAGGTGGTTGAAGGAATAAGTTTTTACGCTGTGGTCCTCGTACTGTTATGATTGGTTTATTGCAAATATAGGAAGTTTCTTGTGGCACAAGTCATACACGTTTGCATTCAACTATCTACGCATTCCAGATCATCAAGAATTGAAGCATGGACAATTAATTTGTAGTGTAGTTGTCGTGGAATAGATGATCTTCATTTCTACAAATTTTGCTTGGTTTCGTTTACTACTTTGTGTTCCTGTGTAGGTGCTTTGAATATTTTTAGGTGGACTTGTTCCTAAAACAATTTTCTTAAGGGTGCATTTATATAATGATGATCATTGTGAGTTTGCAGAGATATGTTTGGCACTTGATTAGACATTTTTCTTTCTACATAATAAGCAACGTTTACCTTATTAACGAGTTTCATGTATGTGGGGCGAGGTGAAACTATATTCAGCTAGCTATGGCATGAAAAGTAGCACTTGATTCTAAGTTGTCTTTAATACCTACTGCAGGTTGAGAAGATGAAAAAGGTACCAAATACTAAACCTTTGGAGGTCACCTTCACAGGCATGATAACATCTTCCATGGAGGGAAGACGCATTGATGACTGCATATCTATATTTGAACACATGAAAACCCAGTGTTCCCCTAACATAGGGACCATAAATGCAATGCTGAAAGTCTTTGGACGTAGCGATATGTTTTTCAAAGCTAAAGAATTGTTTGAAGAAATCAAGACGGTTAAACCTGATTCTGATCCGTTACCAGATGGAGGTGGTACTTCCCTTGCCCCCGATGAGTACACATATATCTCAATGCTGAAGGCATCTGCCAGTGCTCTACAATGGGAATACTTTGAACATGTGTACAAGGAAATGGCTTTGTCTGGATATCAAATCGATCAAAGTAAACATGCATCGCTACTTGTGGAAGCATCCAGAGCTGGGAAGGTAAAGTATAGAGCTAACGGCCTTTATTTCTTCGTCTTCTTACATCGAACCCTTTTATTTTTTTACTGTGTCCAGTGATAGTGTTCATCTTTCCACTAAATGCACCTTGTTTGGAATGAAATCCAAGAATTTATTGAGGTATTAGGAAACATGTAGATCTCCTTTTGATTCTTCTTGAAAGCTCTCGACTTTTAAATTCTGGTTTTTGATTTGTTTCATCTTTTTCAGTAGCCCTATCACTTGTGTGGTTTTGCGGTCTTGTTTTCTGTAACCACTGGATGAGTCGGGAACTTATACTTCGTAATCTGTTTGATGCAGTGCCATCTACTCGAGCATGCATTTGACGCAATTTTGGAAGCTGGAGAAATCCCCCATTCGTTGTTCTTCACTGAAATGGTATATCAAGCTACAGTCCGGCGTGATTATAAGAGGGCCGTAACCTTGGTCAGCGCCATGGCTCACGCCCCGTTTCAAATCAGCGAAAGGCAGTGGACGGACCTTTTCGAGAAAATTGGAGACGCGATCAGTCAGGATGGTTTAGAGGAACTGCTGGATGCTCTAAACAATTGTGATGTAACATCGGAAGCCACGGTCATAAACTTGAAAAGATCATTGCTTTATCTTTGTCGGTCTTACAGATCAAGAGGCTTATCAAGTTCCGGCTATTTTGGCAGTGGAGCCACAGATACATCATCCTCGGTCGATAGCAACGAGGGATTTGATGGTAACAAACTGGTTATTCCGAATCATTATTTGGATTCGGTTGATAGTATCCCCAAGCCGGGGAGGGATCATCTTGTTGGTGAGAGTATTGACGTTCCCTCAGATGAGTTTTCTGTTGGTAAGACCCGCACCAGAAGAGACATAGACATGGTTAGGTCAATGGATTATGTTTCAGATGAAGATGGAGAACACTCAGAAGTCGATGAGGAAATTGAAACACTGGTAAATGGAGTTGATTCTCACGACTCGGATTTGCCCGCGGCAAATGAAATACTGGAAGCTTGGAAGGAAAGAAGGAAAAGGGATGGGATACTCTTCCCCTTTCATTCGAACCAGATCCCTTCAGAAAGATGAACATCTCAGATTTCAATTTAGCATATTTCTGTCAATGTGCATATAAGAAAAGTATTTTGGCCTACAACTCTCAAACTCAATGTATTTACAGATGCATATATCAAATTTTATGTTTCAGTCTTCGGGAAACTTTCCTAGGTGGGTGTGTGCGTTCGTGAGAGAGAGCAATGTCCAGTGAAAATCTCTCATTTTCTAAGAATAGTAATTCTCCGATGCACTTACACAACAGCGACAACTGCAAATGCGCATAATTTATCTACCTTGGCATGAAAAACCCGCTCTTTCCTTCGCTTGTGTTTACTCATCATTTTAACTCTCTGAAACAGAAAACCTACAAGCTTCTTACATGATACCTGTAAAAAGAGAAGAAAGAGGGTTCACAGACAAAGCTCCAACGTTCCAAATATACAATCCCAAACTATTTACACTAGACACATGAAGACATCGCTGCACCAGCGTATCATCATCCCACGCATGGTTCTTGCTCAAGAATGAGTTAACCCATGTGAGAGTTTCATGTGAAGGTCTGCAAAAAAATTGCAAAGAAATACATAAAGGGCATGGATAGGAGTACTAGATTAGTTTTACCAAAATAAATTTTTATACATGAATCTTTGCATGATAATATATAACTTTGGAGCGAGAAATCATGAATCTTGCAAGTTTATTTTAGCATGAAAAAAACTAGTAGTTTGCATATCACTATACAACGTGCTAGTGGATAAAACTGCGATCTTTCAGTAACTTGACAAGAATTCGGGCGGCATTTATCCAAATATTGGCCAAGCTCACAAAATTCAAAAGTTAAAAGGATGCAAAGATAGCATCCTACAAGGGAATACTCACAGTCTACACACATTTTATGTGAAAGGTCAACTTATGATGTGAAATTGCTTAAGAGAACTTTACCAAGTTTTCTACATTTCAACGCCTTCATTGCTGCTTTGGCAAAAACTTGTGCTGCTTCTGCTTCAGCTTCTGCCGCCTCTGCCTCCCTTGCTGCTTCTTCAGCTGCTGCGATGGCAGCCTCTGCCTCTGCTACCGCCTGTGCAGCAGCAGCAGCAGCCTCTTGTGCAGTCATGCTTCTCATCTTGGTTAAATCTGCATCTACTTGGGATTTAGTAAGGATGTTGACGTCACTCTTATCTGTTCTTGATGAATCCTTCTGCTTTCCATTGGGAAGCAATGCTGAAGAGCTTCTTTTTTCAGAAGTTGCTGGAATTCTGTATCTATGCTTTACCTGCAACACAGACCAAAAAAAACAAATTCCTTAGATATGATCACGTAATTTTTTGCTTTTTCATTAAGAATGTCTATTCCTATTATAAACTTCGTTTCTGGTGGAAGGTAAGTCCTAATTCATACACATCCACAATTGTGAGTCTTATCAACTTAAAACCGCTGCTCAATCAACTTAAACCCGCTGCTCAATCCCATCCTACATTGCCTAACATTCTGTATCCTTGTTTACTACGAAATCTTAGTCCTACTAAAGCTTACCTAATTAATCCGGAACTAAGACTACTTAATAAATCCTAACCTATTGGGACTACATAAAACAATAAAACATAAAGGGAAACATGAGAAATAATAAAATAGCTAACCCAAAATAACTAGAACCCTAGCCTAATTGGATAAAGGACCCAAGTACTCATGGAGAGCCTTGTTCAATGGTTGAAAAAGACTCGTCCTTGAGTCTAAATCGTCATCACCAAAGACTCCATAAAAAGCCTGAAACTGGATTCTTCCTTTCCAAACAAAGAGATTTTTTTCAATACAAGACCATTTTTTCAGTATTTATGTTTGTTCTCATGCATCTACATAGAGCTTCAGTATGACCTTAGACTTAAAATTCTAGTATATATTGGCATCAATACATTTTTCAGGCTTACAAGCCAAGGTTTCTTACATCAATCAGATAAATGCAGTCTCAGTCCAAACATACTACAGTAAATGTGCTCTAAGATATCAAAACTTGAGAGGTTAATTACCTTAACCAGCTTTCTGTTGGTTGTCATATGCTTTAATTTTGATGACAGTAGCTTTTTTAGGTTTGGTGGTGCCCAATATTGCTCCTACAAAATGAAAAGTGATAATGTCGAAATTCCTCCAAAAGATCAAGTATTAGTAAATGAGTTATTGAGGAAATTTGAGATTGACAGCGAAATGATACATAAAACATAATATATGAAGAAAGCATGCACTCTCCCCTATTTTCAATCCATTCATTTTCTACTCATTTGCATTCAAAGATGACAGAATTAAGTACTTTAGTTTGACTTGTTAAATGTTTGTTATTTAAACACAAAATATTTCTGCAAGTTTTCTACAAGATGGGTTTCCAAAACTATGAATGAAAGACTCACAATATATATACCTCTATGTACATAACAATTGCAGCTCTGTCAGAACCCCCTGGCTCCTTCAAATTTGTAATAGCTTCTAATATAAGGTGATCCAACCTAAAACCAACCAGATGTCAAGAAAAATACGATAGCATGTCATAAAGTACAATGTTTTTTTCGCCATTTTAAAGGAAGAATAAGATGTGGAGTCGTCTCAAAACATATTTTTGTAAATGTAGAAGGATATCAGAAAACTGCCTCACAAATTAGCAAACGTAACCATACTCATATGCCAGCCATATCAACAGTCTTCAGTTAAAGTGACCTTTACAGCTATGCTTACATAGAGAATTCCTATTCTATTGTTCAGGAAATACAAAGTGAGAGTATAGAGTAAGCATGAAACGAAAAGGGATTGAGAAAAAAAGGTAAAATATATTTCACAGGACAGTCATACCTATCACAGAACTCCTAAAGACAAAATATTATAGATGCAAGTGATAAAATTCATTTGTACAACATTAACATTTTCATGCCATTCGCTTTACGGTGACAATATTCATGAGTATGAGATTTTATGGAAATAAGATAATGAATTGAGGGTCAAAATAACAGGTACCGTTGATCCTTAATGCTGACCAGTTATTTGACCGTTATCCCATTAGATCAAGAATTTTCATATCCAGTTCTTATCACAGAATGAATGTACATTCAATATCCATAAAATCAGTGGAGATCTAACCTGGAAATTGGATGTTTTGAATCTTTTGATTCAGTAGTCTGTGGCTTTCCACCAGAAATGGCAAGAGGCTTAGCGTCAACCACCTCCTTATGACTTTGGATTATAGTGCTCACAGCCAAAGGGTTATTGTTGTTCTCATGTTTAGGAGTCGGTAAGTTCCTTTTAAGTGCAAGCTTAGCCTTCTGTCGAGAACCCCATATTGCAGTCACATTTATATTTCTCCACTTGTCCTATCCAAGGAAACAACTACAAGCATTATTAAACAAAAACACAAAATCTAATATTTACAACCAAATCAAGCATAAATCTGTACAGTACTGTTTTAGGATATGAAAAGAATAACTTATCCAGCTCAAATAATAGACCTTTAAATCCGAAGAAGATTTTGTACATCCACATTTTTCTATATTAGTTTAACAATACCAACTAAGGCTAAAGTCTCGAAAATGGAGACCTTGAGATCAACATTTGAACGCAGATGTAAGATAGTATTGAATTCTGGATCTGTCAGTATTGTGCGCCATTTTCCTGCCCCATGTTTAAGTACTCCAGCTTTAAGGGCTTCTTCTTCTTCGGAGGTCCACTTCTGCTTAGGAGCACCCATCAACCGAAATCCAGAGCCCTTCCAGAACGAAACCTGCCAAGTCAATTTCTGCACTTTTCAGAACTTCATAGATTATCAAATTTTGAATGGTAAAAAGCTTCAACTACAATATAGTAACTTAAAAGACCAACAATTATAATTTTACCATAATTCCCCCAACCCAATATAAATGAATATATAAGGAGGGTTAAAAAAAACCCTACAGTGAAACTTAAAACCCCTGTGGAATTGAACTCATCCACTAAATTATATATTCCGTTTTCAAGTCATTTTTTTTTCTTTGATTAAAAAACGATATTGGAAATTGCGATCTGAGGCTAGAGAAGCAAAGGAAGACCTAAGAAGATTTAAGAAAAAAATGGAATACTTGGAGCTAACGGGAAACTTGACACAATGTTCTAGCCTCAAATTACAATTAACTGTACAAAAATTTCAACTGGGTATATCAATTTAATAAAGGTTACAAGCTTAACAATTTATCATTTTTTACGTTAAATTCTGTCTAAATCCACTAAATTTCTGAACTTTTACAAGAACTTGAATTTCATCTCGCTCACCTCAACTAAGAAAATTCACACCAATTGCATCAAATGGCAATGCATGTGGGCAATTCCTGCACACGCAAAAAACCCCAGAATCTAATTCTCATAATTACAATAAAATACGAGCGAGATTTTCAAAAAATTGAAATTCCGACAAGTAACCGGTGAAAAACTGAAAAGAAAAAAGAGAGAAGGGAAGCAGAGGATTACCGGATCGCAGAAATCACCGAGGAGCTGACGGAAAATGTGGGCAGCTGAGAGATTGGCTGGATAATCCGAAATTTGAAGAATCTGAGAATTTTACTAAATTCATACAAATATTTACATGAATTTTATTTTATGGACTCTTGGTGTTCAAGTGTGTCGAATTTTGTCGGAAAATTAGAAGGAGAAAAATTGTTGTAATTGAAATTCTTCCAGGTTTTGTTTTTGTCTCGCTCGGCCTACCCTTTTGGGAGATGGACAGCCAGGCCTGAGGGATGGGACCCGCCAAATGGTTAATGCTAAATGCTAATAGGGGTCTTCGGTTTCTCTAAATTATGTTAGACCCCTCATTTCGAAAGCATTATACACTTTCACCCCTATACTTTTTCTGTGTTCCTTTACTTTTATTCTCTCTTTTATTTTTTTGATATTTTTTTTGTGCTTTTTGAATAAGGAAGTTAACGAAGAGCGCATTCTTTTGAAAAACTTTATTTGAGCAAAACCTTTTGTGTTCATACAAAAATTAAGGTCTAAGTGGTAATTATATGATTTTTGGTTTTTATTTTATTGTAATTGAGATGCAAAAACAAATGTGAAAAATGAGAAATAAAAAAAAGTGGAGGAAAAATAGTGGGATAGATAGAAACAACATTATATCGAATGACTCCAGAAATTAACAACGAATTAATCTAAGTTAGAATTCACTAGTAATCAAGAACTCACCAAGAACTGAGGACCTTAAAATTTATTGATTTTCTAATATAAAAGATTATACAATGCCTTTTAGTCCTCATTTTTCTAGGAGTACAAATAAGAAAACAAATTAAAGAAATAGTAATCCTGAAATGCCATTTTGGGCTAGCAAATGGAGTTTGGCAAAAAAATATATTCATATAATAGGAACAACATGACAAGGTTTTTTTTTTTTTTTTTTTTTTTTGCGACGTCATTCTCTTCAAAACGCGGGTTGTGTCCTCAAGTTTGCAATGCTTGGGCCTTGCTATAGATTTTACGGCCTTTAGTTTATTTTACATCACAAAACCAAGTTATTAAATTGGAGACTACGAGTGTATTCAATTGAGATTTTGAGGGTTTTAATTATTTTAATGAATTCAACGGTATTCAATCAGGATTTTAAGTGATTCTCTGAAATTCAATGTGTATTCAATTAGGATTTTAAAATAGTTTATTAAAATCCTTTGAAATCTAGGTGTATTCAATTAGAATTTTAAGAAAGTTATAACATTCCAGGTGTATTTAATTTGAATTTGAATTTAAAGAATTTAGATAAGTTGAGGAATTAAAGGGAATTGGAGAGATTTTGTAGTGTATTTTAAGTATCCACAAATCTCACCTATTCCTATAAGATTTCAAGAGAATTGAATTAAAATTTTACATAGAATATCTACAAATCAGTTAAACTCCATAAAAATCCATGAATTTATAAATCTATTAAAATCTCTCTAATTCCCAATTGAATAAATCCCCCTTCATTTCTCAATCTACAAATATTCAAGAGCATTCATTAGTACATTTAAGGTCTCGAGTTCGGTACTCATTTCATGAATATCAATAGTATAAATTTGCAAAGTATGTTGGAATGTAAAACTATGAAGTAAAATATTTTGGTTTTCAAAGTGCCAAGTGCATATGTGAGTTAAATCAGTTTTCTAAAGTGTTATATCCTTTCTTTGTGCACCAAAGTTAAAATCGTGCTATATACAAATTAGTTCAGAGTAATTTAAATATCATCATATATACAACAACAACAAAGCCCTTTTTTACTATATGGGATCGGTTATATGAATCTTAAAACGTTATTACATTTAGTTGTGTGTACAAATGTAAACAAACTTGTATTTAAAAAATTACCCTTAAAAATCTCTTTGAGATGCTCGTATTAGATTTTGGGGCTTAGTACCAATTCAACACAGTTATGGACGGTTAGCAAGTAACTCTTTATCATAATGTTGAAGAAGGGTGTTGTAAGTTCGAATTCTGTCGACTCTCTAATATAATATTTAATCTAACAAATCTATATTTTGACAAAAATAAAAATAAACCAAAGTTTTGGGCAGTTTCTGTATACTTAAAATTAAAGTAGTGAAAAAGTAAATTTCATCAAAATAGTTGAAACTTGAAAAACAACATTTCGGTTTCAGCTGCAACTTCTACATTTCACAAGGCGCCCGCGAGTATTGGTTCTTCCGTTGATTCGTGAACCTGCGATGGCGAGCTCTCTGCAGCGCATATCAAGCCACGCTCGTCTTCTCCGAGCCTCTGTTGCCTCAAGGTCCAGGCCGTTCTCGACGGACGCTCTAGTCGAATACATGCCCGGGGAGATCGGAAAGGTCGCCGGCATTCCCGACGAACATCTTCGCCGGAGGGTATGATCCTTTTCGTTTTCCTTCTGAAATTCAATTCGAATTTTTCTCTAATTTTGACCCAATTTCTGAAATGGATGCACATAACCCAATCCGATTTTTTGGTTTATGGATCGAGAATTAGGGTACTGGGCATGGGTGATGCTAGGAGATCAAATTTCTAAACTGAATTTTGTATACCAAATGATGTAGATGTTGATGATTTGATTAATATTTAAATATTGATTAACGTGTTTATTTTCTATTAGTACACTTCATTTGGTTTGTAAATTTGATTTAAAAATTTGGTCTCCTGGCATTTTAGGGCCGTTTGATAATCACTTCGTTTTTAGTCTTTAGTTTTTGGTACCTATGCATTGGTAAGAAAATGGTAAATTTTGAGGTTGAAGTTTCTAATTTTTTAGTTTTTGATGAATGTCACAAGCTGGACATGGTTAATGTCATTTTTTTTTTTTTTTAAATTTAAAATTCATTGTGATCGGGAAGTTATCCATTTTTGGGGACGCATGACAGGTTATAATATACTCACCTGCAAGAACTGCATCTCAGCAAGGATCAGGGAAAGTTGGGAAGTGGAAAATCAACTTTGTGTCAACACAAAAGTATGTTTTTTGGTTCCCCATTTAATAGTTCCCATTGGAAAAGTATTTGGACTTTTGAGGGATTGCTGATTCGGTTATATATTTTGGATTTGTTTCTGAAGGGTTGTATCTTCTGATATGGTTCATGGTGGGCAGATAGGTTTTATACCGCTTAGTTTTTACGGAGTTTTGTGTTAACCAATGTGGATGTTGTGTTATCAGTCAATCTCTTCATTTATAACTAAACTTTCTATTTTTGAACATTTTCTGCTCCTCCGGTAGTTTTAACATGACAATAAAACCTTAGAACTGCGCTGCTTTAGCTAGATGGCACCTTTCTTGGATTTTGTTTGGGATATTTTAAGTCAGGTCATAGTCGAGCTTGAAATAAGCTTCTTTTTGTTCTCTCTTAAATATCAGATGATTATTATGTTAGCATAATTGGATGATTAATGGCTCATCTTTTTGATACGTTTGTAGGTGGGAGAATCCATTGATGGGATGGACTTCCACTGGGGACCCATACGCACACGTTGGTGATTCGACACTGGGTTTTGACAGCGAAGACGCTGCAAAGTCCTTTGCAGAGAGACATGGTTGGGATTATGTGGTATGTTTTGTTCATTTTCTTTGTCCTCCATCGGGTTTAGGGCTGCCCTTTGTTGTGTTTCTTAAGGAAAATTTGTGTGTTTTTAACCTAGGGATATATTCATCCCCCATATGGGGAAAAAGAACTAGGCATATATTCATTGAATTCCAGATATTACCTTCCAGCCATAAACAATTTTGTGCGATTTTGGTAGTAGACTGGTAGCCCTTTAACTGTTGGTTTACTTTGAAAATATGTTCTTTTATGATGGGTGCAAATTCTTTTATCTCTGATTTTTTCTTTTAACTTCCCTTTGACCTAATAATGACAGTTCTTGAACTCACCTGCAGGTTAAAAGGCGGCAAACGCCATTGTTGAGGGTATGTGATTCTTTCTTCATACTCTCTGAAGCTATTTCCATTCTCATAACAGTTTCTTTTTGTTATTATTTCTTAAATGTATTTATGGTTTTTGGGGTAGCACCCATACAGAAGACTCTTGTCATTTGAGATTAAGATGTTGGTTCCGTTTGGGAATTAGAATATAAAATCATCGTGAAATTTTCATGAATCACAACCCCTTTGGTTTCTTTTTCCTGATAAAGCGAGGACCTGCTCTGAAGGACCTGTAGAAGCTACAACTGTTGTCATTTCAGTTTTCGACTCCATCGATTTTAGCTCCCTAAGCCATCATTTTCTATATGAAGTGTTTTATTGAAGTTGTACAGTACTTTTTTCGTTCCGCCAATTCATGCCAAAACAGTTTAACCGCTTTAAGCTTTGTGTGTAGTATTATGGAGAATAGATTGGCAAAAATGTCAGCAGGATAGTCCATTTCTAGTTAGGTAGTTAATCTTAGCTGCTTCCTATTTTCCTGGAATCGATAAGAAATTGAGTAATGAGGTGTTGCCCGCCCTCGAGATAGAAATTTCTGATTATTTGTATTAAAATATTGGTTTTTTTTTTTTTTTTTTTTTTTTGTATCTTGAGATGTAAAAATGAATCTTTCTTACTGTATCTCTGGCTTCAGGTGAAAGCATATGCAGACAACTTCAAGTTTAAAGGCCTCCCAAAACTGAGGAGAATTGATTTTGCTTCAATGGTTTTGTTTCCGTGGTCAATCTCAGGAGGGAGGCTGTTGCAACAATTCTTTGCAGTACCCTTGTCGTATTTCATTGAACGAGTTACTTGGTCCAAATGAAACAGACTGCAATAATAAACGCGATTCATGCTGTGAAGTATCTTCTCCTATTTCTTTGGTATAAATGACAGTGCCTTTGTATTTCTTGTCTGTTCGATAGTATTTTTACAGTTTTTGTATTCCATGTTTTGTATTTGGTTGTATTCCCCATACGTGCATTCCAATCCCAGTTCGAGAAATGATGGAACGGATAACTTTGCTTGCAATGCACTGCAGTTTGAATTTTTTTCTTCTTCTGCCTCTCCTCTCTGTTTCCCACCTTTGCCTATATCTCAATCTATTTGCTGGCTCACTGGTACCTGCTGCACTTGGTAGCTCGGGAATTTGAAATTAGGTGTTGAGTTTTGACCTCTGTTCGGGTGAACACGATGGAACCAAAACGACATTAAATTAAAAGTTGTGCTACAATCAGTCGCTCACATTCTACGGTCATTATGTACTACTGAATTGATTGTTTTATGTGATCAAACAGTTGGATGGTAATGGGTAGATCATATGTTCATGTATGAAGGGGGAATCCCAGTTGGATCTTTTACCAATAGCTTTAGATGAACCATTTCCATCGCTAGTTTGATCTTCCCAAATATCGGTTGAATATAACACCAAATTCGCCCATCATTTATTAAGAAAATTTGCTATTCCGTCGGTGTGACGAAGCGATCGTCGATTTAGATACATAACTCATAATTCAAACACGCTGATAGATTTGCACTTAGATAATCCTGAACCAGGTTGAGAACTGTTGAAGTTTTATCCGCCATGATTTGGCTGCTAAACCCGGTGAACAGAGAATTTGCCGGCAACATTTTTAACCTCAAGTGAAGTCCCTGTTAACAGTAATTCCGCTAGCATCTGGTAATAACTGCTTAGTATAATACTTGGATTTACGCGACAGATTGATCTTTGTCCGCCGCCTCTCTGGTATTGATTCAATCGAACATTGTGAAAAACCGCGTCTCACAAACCTGTGAGAGAAACAACGGGTGTCATTCTTCAAGACTGATCACTGAACGTTTGTTTTTCTTATAAAAAAAATAGAACGAAGCGCCAAGGAATACGTGCAATAACCATATCTAACCCTCACATGTGATCCCTCTACAAGCATATGTAGGCTACTATAGCATGTATTTCAATTAGCAGAAACTAACCAGTCTGCAGTACGGGTTGTAAGCAAGAAAAGCTTCTCCAATCCGAGCGAAGATGCCTTCTTCTCAATGTAATCTGCAGATATTAAAAATGTAAGAAATTATGGACTATAACAGTAACGATAATACAGTTTGCAGATATACAATAGTATACATGGTCCAAATTGTCCCTTTGTTTTTAATTGGGTATCAAATTTCAGTTCAAAGCATCTTGGGTCAAATGAATCCAAGATGTTCAGTAGAAAAAGAACAGGAAGAAACAAGATGTAATCCAAATCTACGTAGCTTAGGCCAGAAGTATGTGCGCTGATGTGAGCTGTTACTGATGTTTCTTCCTCTTTCTGATATATACCATCCACTTTTTTAGGAATATATGATATCAGCACAAGAGTGTAAGTTTACAGTAACGGTAAAAGAACCTTTTTCGTAAGAGTGGAATCATTGGACATGCTGCGAGAAAGAGAGCAAATATATATTTTTAGCTATAATGTGAATATGATTAGCTACTGTTAATATAATTAGGGTAGTGCTGTCTGCACAACCATTTTTACTTCGCACAAACCCCTCTCAATTTCTGGCCGTCATATCGAATGAATTGAGAAGATCAACGGCCAAAAATTAACAAGGGTGTGTGAGAAGTAAAAATAGGAGTGTGAATAGAACTATCCTGTGATTAAACTTTCAAAATGGTCAGTAGAAAATATGCTCAGCAACGACTAGAGAAGTATATTAGGAAATGAGGAAAGCAACAAGAGAAAAGCTATATCGATGCTTATTCAAGTTTTTCACAGTATATTACCAAGTAATTTATCACCCTGCCCTTGACCACGGCAATCAGGAGAAACTGCAATAGCAGCAACCTCTGCACATTTCTCCTCTGGGAAAGGAAAAAGAGCAGCACATGCAATGACCTGACCTTCTCTTTCCACCACAATGAAGCAATCCAATTCTTCACGTAGCTATTGGTACAAAGTCAGTTCATGAAAACAATACAAATTAAGGTAAGTTTCAATTAATAATCATGAGTGAAAGGCAGAAGGTTCAGTAAAACAAAATTATAAAAGATCATTAACACAAACCTGTTTGTCACTTCTTGGAACCAATGTGCCAGATGCTTCTAAAGGCTGTATAATTTGTCTTATTCCAGAGAAGTCAGATGCCCTAGCCATCCGGGTTCCTTCATATAGGTCACTAAGAACGAACATTTAATGCATGTCAGTGGATAGATGGAGGAAAACTTATGCATAGCAGCATATGTTAGGTACAATTGTTTGCTCTCCTTTTTTATAATTCATGTAAAAAAACTCTTGAAGTTAAGACTTCAATGGAAACCAAGAAGCTACCCCTATGTACCCAGTATCCAATCTTAGCATGGTTAACCGATGATGATGAGAATATCTTTGGCACAAAAATATTTGGGAATTGTTATTAGCACTCCAAAAACAGCATCCCGTACTCCACCCTCCTCCCTCCTTCCTGGTTTTTTATTTTTAAATTTGAATTCTTTTCTAGAGAGGAGTTCTTTTTTGGAGTGCCAATAAAAACTCCCGATTTTTTTTGAAGTAGTGACTAAAAGATACAAGTTAAATACACATCCAGGAACAATTACAACTTATTTTATGCCCAATCCTGGCAAGATGAGACCAAAACAACCTCTAATGAACTCATGCAACTCTATCAAATGAACATTTAGATGTAACGTGGTTTGAAAATTTGATGTTTGGATTTCCACTAAAATACCGACTAGGCTAGTAAGCCACAAACGAGGAAAGAAACATAAACCAGAAAAATGTAAATAGCAGACCATCACATCAGCAACAAAAAAATCCTAGCAATTCGGACCATCAGCATAGCTTATCATCACATTAAAGTTGATTAGTATCTGACATCAGAAAGTCACAAAAGTTCACAAAATTCAGATACGTTAATTGAAAAAAAAAAAAAAAAAAATAGCATACCTAGCCACCATTGTCCCCATTCCATCTCTTTTAAACAATTCCAACAATAAAACTCCCCCTTTAGTTCCATCCAACAGATGTACTCTTTGAACACCTCCCTGGCATTAAATCAGAAACTACCATTGGCTGGGTTCTTGAGATTCAACATATAAAGAAGCTGAAACTTTAACCTATGCAGACACATATTTACTGAAGTTCATAAACCAGGGGGAAAAGGACTGTTATGAGCTTACCCTGCAAACGAAGGCTGCAGCAGCCAATTCGGAAAGGTAACCATTTAATCGACTTTGCCGTTCATGACCTCCAATAGCAAAACCTTGTTCACCAGTCCACAATCCATTCCCATTTTCAAAACCAACACCATTGTGAAACCATGCGGTATAATTTTCCTTAAGAGCCTTCCCATTCCGGTAAGTAGCATTGGGATCACCATATCCAAAGCCAGACAGATTTTCTTCATCAACAGCTTTCACATAGCTAGCAGCTACCTCACTCTGCTGAGCCCGCTTACGAATCAACATGTCTGCTTCTTCAAGAGTCAAGAAGCGAACAAGGCGTCCACTCTCGTCAAGAATTGGACCATCTATTATGCAGATAAGTTTATCTGCTTCGATAGCCAAGGCACAAGCCGTTGCAACTTCGTACGTGCTGAAATATATAGAAGCATAAATCATCAGCAACTAGGTATTATATGTGTAAGAAGAGCTGGCAGCAGAAAATAATCAACCAAATATATAACAAGCACTGTGTAAACTTTTCATTTGAGACACCAAAACAGAAACTATTAGAAGCTTTGTCTATAAAGCATACTTGCAATTTAAAGTTTCTCCAGAGCTGGAATAACCCAGGTTGCTCAGTATCACAATACAATCATCATCAAGCCTCTTACGCATGCGAGAAACATCTACTTTCTTGACTTCACCTGTTGCCCCATAATCTACACCAGCAACAACTCCTCTTCTCTGAAAAATGAAATAACAGCAGTACTTTTCAGAATTTGTACCAACGAAAAAATTCAAAAATCAAGAAAACAACTTAATGTTTAATGTCACTTTTGAAACAGTAAGATTCTTACCTTGGCTGCAAGAAAGTTACCACTCTCGACGCTGACACCAACTTCATGCAAACGACTATTGTCACCATGTCGACGAATATTGCATATGGAAGGTCCTGGAGAAAGCTTTGCCTCTATTGTCTTAGATATCGCCCCAGCTGCTTGCCTTGCAGCATCTAGAGAATCTGAGTCAGTTACCCTGTACTGACCAACAAACTTTGGCTTCTTTCCTGAAAAGTAACAACTAACAGATACCTGCTTAGTTTCAAACTTATAGCACTTCAAATGGCTTAAACAAACCAACAACTTCAAGAACCTAACGAATTAATAATCTAACTAAACTAAGAAATGCATTTTGAAATCAATACCACCAATCAATCATATTTTGTGCTCCACTCTGTGATATCATGCTTAGGGTTCGTTTGGGATTGCTTCTCTAGAAAGCACTTCTAGTAGACGGGCTTTAACCACGTTGAAATGTTTACTAGAATCCAAATCCTACCTGGAAAAACATTTGTAAGTACTACTCGAATAAGCATCTGGCAATTGCTTCTTTCCAATATGTGCTTCTATGAGTCAGAAGCACTTCTAAGTTTTTCTGCCAAACGCAATGAGATGCACTTTTAGGTGTCAAAAAACGCTTTTAGCGTCCGTGAAGCAATCCCAAACCAGCCCTACTCATTGAGAATGTAAAATAACAATCACATACAATAAAACCCTCACCTCTCTGTGCCAAAAGTTCATCAATTTGCACTTGGGTTCCCGGAACAAGAACAAACCTGATCCCCAGGTGATGAAGAAATGCTATATCCTGCATAAAAAACAATATATAAATAGACATATACTAACAAACAATCCAATGCAAAGAAAACGAATAAAAAGATTTCATTTTCTCAGCAACCAAACAGTTCAAAGAGAAAATTTTCTTAGCAACCAAACAGTTCAAAGAGAAAATTAGAAAAAGGCAGAGGACCTGCCTTGAGAATGGGTTCCAAGTGACTACTAGACACAATTTCACCCGATATAATCACAACGAAGGTACCGCCGCGGTGGGCCCACAAATACGGCCAAGCCTCCCGGAACCACCGCACGAACTGCTCGTCCTCCATGCTACTGTAGTTCTCGCAATCGCTCTCGCTATCCTCCATCACAGGGCCATACGCATTGCTGCTGCACTTGAGGGAAATTCCAGCCCTGCCCTTCCGCATCCCGCTATTCGCCACAGGCAGCCGACAGGGTTTTTCGGTGACGGTAAGAGAAGAGCGGCTAGGCGAGGTTAGCTGGGCGGTTACGGTGGCGAGTCGTCGGTGGGTTCCTAAAGTGGTGTATGTGGCGGCCATAGAAGGGGTTGAACGAAAAATGCACGCACAGAGGGTGATCTAATTCAAAAGATGAGCGCTGGGTGAACTCCGGAAGCCGCCACGATTAAAACGGTCCCACACTAAAGTTTCTAGGTTGACTACCGCTTCACAATTTTTGGCGGATTATTTGGGCCAAAATTTCGCACTAGTAATTTAATAAATTCGCGCCATAATAATAAGAAACTAGTGTATAAAGTTTTTACTTTTGTTTTTTTTTTTTTTTTTTAATTAAAGAAGAGAGAAAGGGTGTGTGACAGAACGTAGAAGTAGGGAGAGAGTGAAAGAAGTTTGTTTTTTAATTTCTTAAGTTAGAGATGATAAAATTATTTGTATGTGAGGTTTAAATAAAAAAAATTTTATTTTGTGAAATTACGTTATTGTTCTTAATTTTGTTGTTGTGATAAAAGATAAAACGGTCTTTTTACCCTCTGTTCGTTAATAAATAGGGTTTTATTAATATGTATTTATTAGATAAGCACTGTTTTAAAAGGGAAATGTTTTTCGCATCTTTGTCTTCTCTTTTTTCATATACAAAACTTAGAGGCATTGAAAAGTTGAAAAATCCTTCCATGTAGATAATTATATTTTTTAAGGTAATGCTAGAGAGATTAAATTTGTAAATAAAATTTTGAAAACTAAAGAACATAGAAGTTGATGATTGAGTTATTACTTAAGCGTTGATAAACGTGCTCATTTTTATTGGTGACACATCACTTAGTTTGCAAATTTTGTGTCCAAATTTAGTCTCCCTAGCATTACCCTTTTTTTTTTCACTATTAGTTGGATGCATATTAAATGATAGGGTAATGCGAGGATGACTAAATTTGTAGCCAAAATTTGCAAACTAAATGATGTGTCACCAATAGGAATAAACACGTTTATTAACGCTTAAGTCATAATCCAATCATCAACTTCTATGTTATTTAGTTTACAAAATTTAGTCTCTTTAACATTATCTTAAATGATAAGTCGTGTTAAAACAAAATGCAAACTTAATTGAATATGCATGGCGTGTGTGCTGGTTACTAGTATGACGTGTGTGCTGGTTACTAGTATACACAATGTTGTTTTATTAAACTATATGCACAACATAAAATATTATACTATCTTTATTTTTTATTCTTCCAATTTTATCAAATGTTCTCGAAGGGAATGACTTTTTAGAGCATCCCTAGTGAGGGGCTCTATATAAAGTTGGAAAAGTGGTGGATATAATAGCCCATTTTAGAGCTTTGAGGAATCTTTGAGATTTTATAAAAGAACCTCTTCCAGTGAGAGGTTGTATCTTTCAAGCTCTATATAAGCCTATATATATAATAATTTGATTAAGCGATGATTTTTTTTTTTTTTTGTGTTAACTTTTCTTAAGTTGATATGCTATCTTAATTTTTTTTATGGGCCTTTCAACCTAAAAAGTTCAACATGTGACAAAGTTAGATTTAATTACTTATGAATCGTTGAATTAGATTCTCTTATCAATCTCATCCGTTGAAAGAAACAAACCCCTACCTTGCCCTCTGAAACAATTTGATTTTTCACATATAACACAACAATTTACCTAGCACCAATTGGTAAATTAGTATCATGCAATTTTGAAAAATATTATTTGAAAATTTCATCCAAAATTTCATCTACCAATGCCCATGAACGTTAAATCAATTTGAAAATTTAATTCTTAAGGAATTTAAGACATCATTAATTAGCCACATTGCAAGAAAATAAGTAAGAAAAAAGAATTAAAAAATAATAATGAAATGAGAGTATAAGTGTATTTGCAAGTGGAGAGAGAGTGATAAAATTTTGTTCAATGTGTTGCTACTTTTTTTGTGGGACCTACTGTTTTTTGGGGCTAGATATAGTCCCGATTTATGCTACTCAAGAAAGGAAGTTGCTAGCCCCAGTGGTGGATTTAGTCCTATTTTCCGACTCATTGGGATGAAATTTCTCGCTAAGGCTTAAAATGTAGTAGCCTCGTGGAGGATAGAATCCTCGTTGGGGATACTCTTATAAATGTCATGCTTATATATAACATAAATATTTGTTTGAAACATAAATTTACTAATAAACACGTCACTAGCTACCATGTATCATTGAGGGGAAGTAATTAACTTCAGTAAATTAGGAAGGAATCGGTCCAATAATAAGTTAGGTAAGGTGTACTGTGTCGCAGTGTGAAGCACTAAAATGATCGGTAGCTAGAGCTCACAGGCTCACTGTCATGTCTATGTGTGTGACCACCTCGTGTGAGAGAGAGAGAGAGAGAGAGAGAGAGAGAGAGAGATTGCAAAAGCAGCATATACCTGAAGTATGGCATCCAAGAAGAAAGGACTAGCAACAATCTCACAAGCTATGACCACAACAAATGTAGTGCTTCTGTGTAAGAAAATGTAAGGTTGAACTTCCCGAAGAACCTCCACAAACTTCTCATCTTCCTCCGCCGGAATATTGACACCCGCTGCAGGGTCACGACCATCGTACCCTTTCGCCACCGTTACCCTAATTCCCTTTCTTTTAATTCCCATTTCCAGCAGCTGCCATTTAGGAGCCAACGCAACACCCCCAACTCTCCAACGACTTTTCGCCTTCATCAAACCGAACGCGTAACTGAAATTTTTGGGTACTTCACAGGGACATGAAGGCCAAGTGTGGTCATGGCCGCGGCAAGTTTGATTCCAGGGCATTGATCTTAAAGTAGCCATCGCACTTTTGGAAAAAAATGGTATTATATTTGGGTTTATTGGGACAAGAATGAAATGCGGCAAAACGATTAACCGAGAAAAGATCTTTAGTAGAGCAACCGATGAGAAATGATGTAGAGTTGTAAGACAAAATTCAATCAACTTTATATAAGGGAAGGGATGGCCCACACCACATCAAACTGCAACCGTTTATTTTTCAAATTGTACTTTATAGATCATATTTATAAAATATTAGCTAAATCGAAAATATTTGAGGTATCTAATTGATTTCAAATAAATTGACGAACATTATGTTATAAGAAACATTAAAATTTTATCGTGACAATTAAATGAGCAACTGATTTCGGATTGAATTGAATTTTTGCATAAATTATATATGAATCAAGAAAATAAACGGTTTAAATTGTTAAAATTTGATGTAAAAGGAACACATTATATAGGGTAAGTAAAGTAGATTGTGAAAGGAACGCATTATTCTTGAGCTCAATTATTAAGTTGGCATTTTTCCCCTCTCATCATCATGTCTGTCTATCTTTATATAGTCATGAGAATCTATTTTCTCCCCAACTTGTTTATAGACATAGTCCACCAAGCTATGTGATTCACATGGGATAACTATTTCCAAAATTTATGACTAGTATTTTGCAACTTCATTGTCATCATGTCATATCTCTTTCTTGAAATGGTTTTATTATTTATAGAGTGAGATATTTGACAATATGTTTATTCATTTTTTTTTTTTGTTAATATATCAAGACACACAGACACATATCGACATTGATATCGGTCACATGCTACGAGAACATATTTGCATAATGTAGACACCAAATTGACATTCATATATCAATATCTCAATGATGTCATATCAACATGAAATCTGAATGTGAGATTCTTTTCCAAAACTAATTGAGAATAAGAGGAGTAACTTCTTATAATGTCTTGCAAGGTTTTTTAACTTTTTTACATAAGAAAACACTTCACTTCCTCACAATATTGACATCTCATATGAACACGCTCTAGCTAAAGTGGAGCTAGACACAAACACACACAAACCATTATGGACCATACACAGAACTACCCCATGGACCAACACACGAACAAGAAGTGATGAGATCTGTTGCATGTGGTTCTCACTCAATCCCACTCCTCTATGAGTGAAGTGTGTTTTCCATGGGGCAGTCCTAACCAAGACTTACAAGTCAATGCATTTGGTTCACATCGTGGGAAAGTTCAAACAATGTAGATTTTTTGAATCAAAAGAAAATTGGTCACGTCGCAGGATATAATTAAAAAAGTTGCACTACAAAAGATGATGCGGTTGTATCCAGGGTCCCGCACATATCACCTCAAATTTGTTGACATTTCAAGTCACCAGGGAAGAAACCAAATGCAAACCCATGCTGGTTAACGCTGAATTAGGTTAATTAGCTCATATCGAAAATGGCGAGCGTAACTTTCTGTACAAGTACAGGGTCAAGTATTAAGTTGTGGATAGAGTTTAATTTACAATGGCAAAGGAATATGCTTTTTGGAAGAAAGATAAAGAAGGTACAAAGAATTATACTTAGTTAGATTACAAGATTCCAGTGGCATATACACACATGGAAAAGGATCCTCGCCTGGAATCCTAGGGATTCAGTGATCTTGTTCGTTCATCGTACATCGTGCGGTTAAAAATCATTTTAAAATTTAAAATTTAAAATCAAATATAAATCGTATCTAATGATTTTTGGCTGTACGATATACGATGAATAAACAAGATCACTGGATCCTTAGGATCCTCAAGAAAAGGATCCAACGAGGATCCTTTTCCCACACGCGCGCGCCGCACACACACACACACATATATATATATATATGTATGTATATATATATATATATTAGTAGGAATATGTTTTAGGGAAGTGTTATTAGCACTCTAAAAATCTCGTTTTACACTATTCACAAGTGTATTTTTCTTTCTAAATATAGAAAATTTGGAGAATTGAATGAGAAATTTGAAGTGCCAATAACAATTCCCATGTTTTATTCTTTGTATTAAGCTTTTGGGATTTCTATTTGGCGCATTTTCTTTCACTAGTTATAAACAGTTGAAACTAAATTGATTGAGATTTAATTAAATCTCAACCATTCACACATTAAAAAAAAATATATGCGAGTGACCAGGCTTTTAAGCCTTTGGGTTTCCCTTGTTGTATATTGTTGGGTTTTACAGCTCAAAATTAGGATGATGCAAAGAAGTATATTTGTGTTACCTATTTGGTTTTGGTGTTCTATTTGGGTTTGGATTTTGAATTCTTAGTTGTTTTCCTTGATGGAGAGATTTTGTTAATTACCTATTTGATTAGGATTTGTATTTACTTCCTATTAGGATTCTTATTGTAACCTAAGTCCTATGCACTATAAATAGGACCTTAGGGTTAGTGTATTTTGTGTGGCTCTTTTGTGTGGCAATTTGTTGAGAGTCAATTTGTGGAATTTAGGTTGTGAGAGTTTAAACACTCTTTTGTAATCTCCGTTTGTTTAGTGAAATTCCTTGACATTGATATTGGTACTTTGTTAGAATTCGCTTCCATTTGCGCATAAAAGTACATCAAGTGCTATCAGAGCCTAGTTTTCGGCTTGGGCTTTGCTTGGTAGTCACTATGAAGCCTTCTGTGTCTTTGGTGAAAGTTGATATTGAAAAGTTCGACAGTAATGACTTTGGTATTTGGCAATTGAAGATGCGTGCTTGTTAGTTCAACAACGGCTTTTAAAAACGCTAAACGATGTGAAGGCTTTGCTGAATTCGTGGACTGATGAAGAAAAATAATATGTTATGGAGCGGGCACTTGGAGCAATCCTGCTGACTTTATCGAATGAAGTCTTGCGTGAAGCTGGTAGCATCAAATCTGCATTGAAATTGTGGCTAAAATTGGAGAGCTTGTATATGACCAAATTCCTTGCTAAACGGTTGTATTTGAAGAAAAGTTTGCATACTCTTCGTATGGATGAAGGTACGTCAATTCATAAGCATGTTGATGAATTCAATAAACTTATGATGGATTTGAAAAGTGTGGATGACCAAATTAGTGATGAGGATTATGTGATAACTTTGTGGTGTTCTTTGTCTCCTTCGTATGAACAGTTTGTCGATACCATGCTATTTGATAGACAAAGTCTTAGTTTTGAAGATGTTAAAGTCGCTTTGAATTCTAAAGAGATAAAGAATAAAGTGTCTGACACACAAGATGGAGCTTTGGTAGTTTAAGGAAGAAATAAGGAAAGGAGCAAACTTGGAAAGAACATTTGTAGCTATTGTTATAAGGAAGGTCATTGGAAAGTAGATTGCCCTAAACTCAAGGGCAAAAAGAAGCCGTTTGATAAGTCTTTTGCTAGTGTTAATGCAAACATTGCAGAAGATCAGTTGTTTTGAACTCCTCTAAAGGTTTTGTGAGGAGGTGGAGCTTGGTACTCAAGCTCTTTGGGTGGAGTGCAATTCGCACTTTTTTGTTCATATGTTCAAGCTTTTGCTTGAATTTTGTTTCGTATTTGTTAGTTTCCGTAATGGAATTTGTTGGAGAAGGCGTTGGAGGAAATTTCAATTTTGAAGACTTTTGGATTTTTTTATTCTAGGTGGAGATCAGTTTCGAAAGAATTTGGTGCACATTTGCGTTTGTATTTTGGTATCCCAAATTTGAAGTTTGTATTTGACTTAGAAGTTTGCTAATTTCTCGCCGAGGTGGAGATTGTTGGGTTTTACGGCTCAAAATTAGGATGATGCAAAGAATTAGGTTTGTGTTACCTATTTGGTTTTGGTGTCATATTTGGGTTTGGATTTTGACTTCTTAGTTGTTTTCCTTGGTGGAGAGATTTTGTCAATTACCTATTTGATTAGGATTTGTATTTACTTCCTATCAGGATTCTTATTGTAGCCTAAGTCCTATGCACTATAAATAGGACCTTAGGGTTAGTGTATTTTGTGTGGCAATTTGGTGAGAGTCAATTTGTGGGATTTGGGTTTGTGAGAGTTTAAACACTCTTTTGTAATCTCCGTTTGTTTAGTGAAGTTCCTTGACATTGATATTGGTACTTTGTTAGAATTCGCTTCCATTTGCGCATAAAAGTACAACATATATAGCCTTTGAAGGCTTTGCTGTGCGGAGAAGACGAAGAAAGAAACGAAAAACAGGTCATTTGCACGGGCAAGTGTAGAAGACTACTAGGGGATGGGGAACAAATATCCTCTAGCTTTCTCTTTCTTGTAGGGTAGAATAAATTGTTCTCTGAAGTTGATTTAATCATCTACTTAAGGTAGACTTAAATAGACTTTAGAAGTGATTTAGTTCCCTTTCCTAGAATGATCGAATTTCCAACTAAGGTGGAAATTTACATCAAAATAGGAAACAATCTTATGTTTCCTAAATCAAGGGAAGATATTTAGACATGCTGCCTTTTCCTGTGAGTAACCCAAAAGGTGTGGAGGCATTTGTAGAGCGACAAATAATCAAGAAAATTATGGAGGCGACACATGGACTTTTGGGTGAAAAAAGACAAAATTACCCTCAAGGCACACTGAGATTTCCACACTCATGCAGCAGACAATAACGACTTAATTAAGGAAGAGTCAAAGGTGATCAAAATGATATTTGTTCAAAACCCTCTCATCACTCCTCATCAAATCATCACTCAAAGGGTAACTCTCAATCAGTCTATTTAAATTAGGATTGATTATCAGGTTAATTGCAATATATTATTTCACATAATATCTTGCAATTAACCTAAAAAAACTACCATAAGTGGCCGGTCCCTATTCTCCAAATAGGGCCAGCCACGCCCCTATATATAGTCTCATTTCTCCACCAAAAAACTAAGTTCATTCTCTCCCTAAAATTTCCTAAACACTTTCGCTCTCAAATTGTAACTTTGGCATCGGATAATCTTCAGCCAAAGCCCCCCCCCCCCAAAAAAAAATCATTGTGAGCGCGTGAGGCTCTTGGCCTTAATCTTAGGTATTATTGTTTTGCAGGTGCATTTTCATCAAATGAAAAGAATGTAAAAATTTACATCCACAATTATGTTTAGGAAT